GAGTGGGGGAGGAAGGAGCGAGAGAAGTAGTGGTGGTGGGATGTGGCGGAAGGGAGGAGAGAGGGAAGGAGTGGTCGACGGATGTGGGTTGTGGAGTGGGGTGGAGAAACGGCGGTAGGGAAGGGTGGGAGAAGTGCTTGCGGTGGGGATTGAGTTAAGGTTTGCATAGGATAAATAGAATAATTGGGTGTGATATTTTTTTTTTTGTTTCCAAAATTACTCTAAAGTAAAATTAACTGTAAGATTAAAAAAAACGGAAGAGAGAAAAATGGATGGCGGATATTGATGTAGTCTGGTAGCCACCCTAACTCATTCAGTCTCCCTCATGGTGTTGTCAAGTTTTGTCGGTCGATCGGAAATAGCAATAGTGTTAGCCCACTTGGTGACAAAAAAAAAAAGCTCTTTCTACGTTATGTAATTTGATAGGGTTTGATTTTCATTCTTTGAGAAACTTCCAATTGGAAGAAGAAGAAAAAAATATCATGCATAGTAATAATCAACCTATATATAATATGAGTTGTTTTCAAGCGTGCGGTATGGAAGTGGACAGTTGGTGCACAGTGAACTTAAATTGGGGGAAATGGGAAAATGTCGAACCAGAAATCGGCTGAGAGAGGAAAGTTTCAAAGCAAAGACGACAAAACGGTAGTGGAAAAGAGAAGACAAATTGAGCTTAGCTTTGCTTCTGGAAACAGGAAGAGGAATAATGTTGCCTCTGAATTAGGTAAGAAGGTTAATTGTGGGAGCAACGCGTGCTGGGCTAGGGTTCGAAGCTGCAAATCGCCGGTCCACAGCTCATCGGATTTAGATGGGAATCAATTGGCGGGCAAGGTAATCTATTCTATGCCACTGTGTGCATATATTCTCGCCGACGGCCGGTTTGGACTGATCGGAGTGGCGCCATTCGATCGCACGGTTGTGTGTGGGGAGTTTTTTTATTATAACAACTGATGCCGAAATCAAAGATGGTGCCCTACCCAAACGACAATTGTCACTTTGTCAGGTCGGCATTGTATACTTCCAAATCCACTCTTTATGCACCAGCTAGAGGAGGAAGTGGTTATCCGGTTACAAACACTCATTTGTTAATTTAATATGTTTGAGTAGGTTGCAAAAGTCTACATGTGGAACATCTCCTACACTCCGAGTTCAGAAATTTGAACCCGCCCCACAGGTAATATCCGACCTGACCTACGATTAGGGTGAGTATTATCTGATCCAAAGTAGCGTGGTGCGGGACATGAATATCTACTTTCGACATGTCTGCTCCACCCTGGCCCGTTCTTGGCCATTTTATCTCAATTTCTTACACTTTCTATTCATAATTCTCATATTTTGGCTTTTGTTCAACCAGTTAGAATTCATCATTCAACTAGTTAAACTTAATTACACATTCCATTATCGATATTTTTCATTCATAAAGTGTTTTCTCTTCGTTTTATTGAAAAGGGTAAATTTGTGTGTAGTTTTTTTTCTTCCAAATAACATGTAAGAGTGGGTCAACCTGCCGCGTCCGTACCTGCATGTATATTACTCGTCCCAACCAACATAAGTGTCGGATGAGACATGAATATTGAGGTACCCGCTACGATATCCCAAAGAAGGGGATGATAATGTGATCCTGACATATTAACCAAATTTTTTGAAAGGAGTTGTAGCTACTTACTTTTGAAGTACTGGGAATGAAAAAGCCTACTTTGAACTATCCCATGAAGAAAGAAGTTAATTAATATTATTGAGTGGAGTTAATATTTACTTACAATCAACAAAAAACGGAATATTTTCCTCCTAGTACTAAGAACCAAGAAGATAGTACCCAAAATTCGATAGGGTCTGCTGATCACTTGTTTAATACCAGTCAAACTCAATCCGTCGAGGTCAAATGCAGAAAAAATACAGTCAAACTCAAATCCCAAAACCCAAATATGCAGAGCACTACGTTGCAAGTAGCTAGAGATTGAGAATTGTAACTGAAAATTGTTTACTTTTGCCGTTTTGCTATCCACTCATGGCCACATTTCACCGGCCAGCCACTATTGAAAGTAGTGGATCATTGCTTGAAATTGCTTAATACTCCAAAATAAAATTTTCTCTTTCAAAGTTTTCCCTATAAAATATAAGCCTCCGAGATAAAATAATAATGATGTTAATGTTCTATTGAAGATATTTAGATCGTCTAAGATAATTGAAACAAAAGGGTTTGCATAATAATAATAATGTGTGTGGACGGTTAGAAAATAGAAAAAAAAATTACATGTATTAGCACGAAGTTATAGTTGAACAATATCAATTAGTATTGCAATTCAATGGTGATGAGTTTGAGTCATGACCACTCCATGTTAGGAATGACAATTCTACCATACTAACTATAAAGACCTGATTCCTCTAATCCGATGAACAAGGGAAATTCGCGCAATACTATAGATGGGGCAAATAGTGAGAAAGAATATATTGGGGATGAGTTTAGTTGCCCTTGTCTCATCCTCATCCACATACTCTTACTCGCCTCTTACCAATTTCTATACTTTAGAGTTCAGAATTTCAAAGGAAAGCAACTCTATTTTCATTGATTTCACTTTTCCAATTGTGTCAATACATGTATCCCGCCTCTAAACCTAATTCACCATAAAAGTTTTTAATTTGTTATGTTTCTTGTGCTATTTGTGATTAGTTCATGATATGGATGTTTTTCATCATTCGAACTCTACAATATTTCCAACTAAAACCAGATGGAATTTAATATGACTTGCAGTACATAATGATTTTAAAGCGGTGTTGATGAGACCGTACCGACAATCCAATCGGAAAAACTTGTTATCAAAGTCTAAATTGACAAGTAATTTTTAGTGGTATATAACGATTGAACCACGATTAAAAGAGGACTTCAACACAAGATACCCTAATGTTAACTTCTTCCACCAAATGATCCTCTTCATGTTGAAAATTGCTATCTTCCATTTAACCTAATAATGAGTTATTAGATAACATATTTTAGATTTTCAACCTCAACTATATTATTATATATATGATTTGGAGAAATACTACAAGTTTTTCTAGAATCAAATAGAATTCCTTAACTTTTCAAAACCATGGTCATCAACAGAAGCAGGTACCGTTGTTGCTACTAGTATGCTCTACAAGTTTTGAATGGACATTTGCAATCAACTATGTAAAAACACATTTCACTTTGATGAACTAATAAAATCATAGATGAGTATTTTATAGAATATAACAAGATTGATATCATATGAATGTGTCTTACAAAAATATGTTATTGAACACTATAAAGTTTATAAAAAAAATTATCTTACAGTATTTTGTTTTAAGGGTAAATACAATTTAATATCCAAACCTTTCATTTTAAACAATATAATAGCCAAACCTTTTCGAAAACAATCTAATATCCAAATCGTCAACTTTCCGTTCGTTTGACCGTTAGTTGACACTTCAAAAAAGTTCGAAAAATCGGAGAAATACCGGATAAGAGAGTCCAACACCCAAAATTTAACCTTCTCACCCTTTCGGGCCTCATCAAATCCCCACTTGCTCAATCTAAAATCAAGACCAAATTAGGACCGAACCGATTCAAGACCGGACTGTATCCAATCCAATCTTTAGTCTTTATATTCTCGAAAAGACCGGACTGGGACCGGATCAATTCGGGTCAATTTAACTGGACAGTATAGTCACCCCTACAATTTACATAAAATGCTAGCTATGCCACTCGTTGCAACCAGCCCATCACCTGCTATAAATAAGCAATGATTGCAAAACTTTTGCGGAAGTTCTACTGGAAAAGTTACCGATAAGATATTTTATTTTGAAACTGTGGTTTAACTATGATTCAACCGTTCCATATAACTAAATACCACCTACCGATTTAGAATCCAATAAAAAAAAATATAGTCAAACCGGTATGTAACATTGTTCATTGTAAATAACAACTAATTGCGAAACCGATAAAACTTTTGCAAGCACAATTTTTCGGTGGTTTCGTCCACAGCTTTAATTGGCCCCTTAATCCCGCTCTTGGCAATATGGGTACTGTCCAAGACGGGATTTTGTCCTTACTTTTGAGACATCAAAAATTCGAAACCACCCCCCTCATTTGACAACCTTAATCAACCAATTAATTATACCAACACATGTAAATTAATATTAATTATACCATCTCTATCGTCAACCGGCTTCAGGTTTTTAATTTTATTTCCCCCAGGAACTTTACCGGAAAATCAAAAAGAGTTTTTGCTTCAGTTTCGCAATACACATAATTAAAACCCAGATAAAATTAATTACCTCGTTAATCAATTCTTCAAATTTCCATATCAGGATATCTCAAAGCTTCCATGCCTCTCAGTTCCAGGGCATCCAATTCCATTCTTCTTTCTTCTCCTCATCCTCCTCTCCATCCTTCATATTTTCTTTCCTTTTTTGGGGGCCTTTCCTACTCACTTTGCCTCCCCTTTTTGCCCCTTTATTGCAATTGGACCTTAGAGGAGCAGCAGGCCGGCCACTACAGTCCATCCACAAAGAAGAGGGAGGGACTGTGCGTGTGGAGAGAAATTCAAAGCTGTCACCTTTTCAGGCTTAGTGGCTTCGAGACTAGAGTCTCCCCACTTCTGCTATAAAACCCTCCCTCCCTCCCCCTTCCTCTAAAACCTCCCCTCCTCACCTTCTCCATTTCTGCTCCCAAAGTTCCATTCTTTCCCTCCTTCCCACTCTTCCCCTTTTTCCAGAGACCAAACAGGCCCATCATAATGTGCCAGCAGCAAGTCTCCCTTCCCCTCAGCCAGGGAGATGACCACCAAGCCCAATGCTGCTGCCCACAATCTTACCTTGTCACCATCAAACACCAACAGCAACAACAACCCAACAACATGTCCACACCATTGATCTCCAAAACCCCAACAACATCAGATACTGATGCAACTACCACTAAATCAGCAACAAGAGCACCCATTGTGGCAGAGGCAATCTCCATAGCCAGAATAGCCTTCCCCATGATCCTTACCGGGCTACTGCTCTACTCCCGGTCCATGATCTCCATGCTCTTCCTGGGCCGACTAGGAGAGCTCTCCTTAGCTGGGGGATCGCTCGCTCTAGGTTTCGCCAACATTACCGGCTACTCGATCCTGTCTGGCTTAGCTATGGGGATGGAGCCTATCTGTGGCCAAGCCTTTGGTGCACAGAAGCACCATCTCCTCGGCCTCACTCTGCAACGAGCGGTCCTGCTCCTGCTCCTAACTTCCTTGCCCATCACTTTCCTGTGGCTGAACATGAAATCAATCCTGTTATTCTGCGGGCAGGATTTGGAAATCGCCTCGAAAGCGCAATTGTACCTAATTTACTCTGTTCCTGACCTTTTAGCCCAATCTTTCCTCCACCCACTGAGAATCTACCTCAGAGCCAATCCATCACCTTACCTCTAACATTCTGCGCCACCATTTCCATTCTCCTGCACATACCAATCAACTATTACCTCGTTACCCACCTCAATTTGGGGATCAAGGGCGTCGCGTTGAGTGGGGTTTGGACCAATTTCAACCTCGTCGCTTCCCTGATCCTCTACATCATCTTCTCCGGAGTCCACAAGAAGACCTGGGGCGGATTCTCCCTCGAAAGCTTCAGAGAGTGGAAGTCGCTCCTCGATTTGGCGATCCCCAGCTGCGTCTCCGTCTGCCTCGAGTGGTGGTGGTACGAGATCATGATCCTCCTCTGCGGTCTGCTGATAAACCCTAGAGCGACCATCGCCTCCATGGGGATTCTGATCCAGACCACCTCGCTAATCTACATCTTCCCTTCTTCCCTGAGCTTCAGCGTCTCGACGAGGGTCGGGAACGAATTGGGCGCGAATCGGCCGGGGAAGCGAAGACGGCCGCCGTCGTGGGGCTCTGTCGAGCTTCTTCCTCGGGTTTTCGGCGCTGAGCTTCGCGATTACCGTGAGGAAAATCTGGGCGACGATGTTCACCGACGACGAAGAGATTGTGGCGCTGACGGCGATGGTTCTGCCGATCATTGGGCTGTGCGAGCTGGGGAACTGCCCGCAGACGACCGGGTGCGGGGTTCTGAGAGGGACGGCGAGGCCGAGGATTGGGGCGAATATCAATTTGGGGTGTTTTTACCTGGTCGGGACGCCGGTCGCGGTTTGGTTGGCGTTTTGGGCCGGGTTCGACTTCCAAGGGCTGTGGCTCGGGTTGCTGGCGGCCCAAGGGTCGTGCGCACTGACCATGCTGGTGGTCTTGGGTCGGACCGATTGGGAAGGGGAGGCACGGAGGGCGCAAAAGCTGACAGGGGATTTGGCTCGTCATCATGATGACGTGGAGGATCAGGAGGAGGATGATATGATTAAGAACAAGGATTTGGGTACTAATAAGGATAATAATAACGCTGAAATCAAGGAGGATTGTTCACATTCTTTTGGGGGAGTGGTGACCAGTTGGATAGGCAATATTCAATTGTTTAGTCCATCTACAAATAATTTTTTTTTGGTTTCTTCTTTGATATATTTATTTTTTGTTTTACAAAGATAACAAAGTTTATATAGATAGAAATTACGTAATGAAAATTCGAACCCGATTCAAATCTTTTTCTTTTTTATAATGAGGGATCTTTTGTGTCGAAGTTAAGGTATCGATCCAATTATTGTGACATGAGTTGTGGTACACGAGTTCCATATTTGGCACCTCTTATGCATAATAGTTTTTTCTCCTCTTCGTAATAGTGACATTGAATAATGAACCAAAAATCATTTACTTAAAAAAAATGGTAAATATCTTTACAATTATTATGGTGGCATCAGTGACAGATGACTTGATTGCAAGTTCGCTCGCCAAGCTACATTTTTTACTACATTGTTGTTAACAGAACAATTTCTCAGCATGCAATAACCTGTTTCTCAAGATTGTTAAGACAATTTACTTGCACCGTATTATGAGGGGTTAGATCATCATTTATTATATGAGATATTTTGAGATAAACCTAAATATTAGAAGGATGTCATATGTATCGAGTTCGTTGTGTGCTGCAAAATCTCTTTCTTTGTAATCACAGTCTAATTAATTACCAAAATACGAGGATATTTGTGATGCTTTTTGTTGTTTTCTCTTTACTGGTTTGCTTTTTGTTTGTGTTATACACTTTGATCATGGGAGGGAGACAGGTTACTTATAAGTTGGTTACATATACTTACATATGCTGATGATATTGGCCCATGAAAGTGGTCATCATCTACTTATCCTCAAAGAGGGGAACAAAAACAAATTCTGTTTCCCCACATTTCCTTTTCTTTTCCTTTTTGTTTGCTTTTCCCCAATAAAATTCTCTGTTGGGAAGTTTTAAGCTGACTCCTAAGATGATGCCCACCTTCAATTGTTTTTCTTTGTGCCCTTACATTGAGTTAAAGGTTGTATTCAATAAGTCTCTCTCTTTTGATCAAGAAATAAAAATAAAAAGATTTCTCTTTCCTAGTTTCCTTTGAAAATTACTTATAGTCATGTATAAGGAAATCTACACTCACAATTGTTCTTTTTAACTAAACACCTGTAAATCAGACGCAAAGAATTTTCACCTTTAAAAAGTAATATCACCAAGATGATTGTCGAAATGGTTGAACCACGAAAATATCCATCTAGGTGGTCTCTGGCGCAAACCAACTATTCTCAATAGTTTAAGTTGCTCGGAGAGGTCAATTATGGACTTATGGTACTTAATCACTTTCATACACGCCCCTCAAACGAAAGCCGATTTAGGCTTGACATTTGCACAAGCCTCCACTTACCATGTGTTTTTAGAATAATGATTAATATTCAGATCGTGAGGACTTTAACACATGATCTAAAAAACAAACAGCTTTGATACCATGTCTCAAATCAACTGATCACATACTTAACAACTTCCTTACTGTCCCCCACCAAAACTTATATCTATTGCTTAATCCTAATTTTTCATTTTGTACCAGAACTTGGACGATTAGCCATTGAGTCATTACCATTTTGTTAGCTAGGAAGATTTGGGTTAATGATTAACAGAGATCTTGCTTCAGATTTAATCTTGGGCACCGCCTGCACTAACTATATCTAGAGAGAAATAATATACTACTCATTTGCATCGAATGCCAGATAGATAATGGTGTGGGCCGCAGCATCGAATTTGCATGCATGCGCTGATTGATCAGTTTTCCTTTCTGGCCCAATATATACATATCGATCGAAGCCAATTGGCATATAATTATCACCTTCTTTTTCCTTTCTGTTGAGCCTCCCTCGCCCCTTTTGGGACAGCATTTTTCTTATCTGTTGCAATCACACCAGCTAGCTTCAGGCTGGCACAGTCTTGTTATTCCTGGCCTTGGCCCCCGATATGGGTTCCTAATTAAGAGCAATGAATACTACATAAACTTTCCAAAAAAAAAAAACTGATTTGTCTATGTATAACTTGGGTTGATGTGGTACCACACATTAGTGATGTAAAGAAGTGGTTAAAATTTATGTAAAAACCCCTCTTAACAATTCGAATTATTGGAACCAACTGGCGGATTTAGAGATGATGTTCGGTGGCACAGTTGCGAGCTTTTTTTCGCGGTGGAGAATTGTATTTATAGAATGGGTATATTCACGGGTTGGATTGAATTATATGACGTGATGGGTATTATCATGACATGACGAGTCGGGTTTTATTTTTCTCTGGTTAAATTTGGATGACTTCGCATTTTCGTCAGCCACGTCATAATAAGCCTGACAACTTTATCAAAATTTGGCGGAAGTTAACGCCCAATGACCCAAATTGAAATGTTGAACTAATTATAGTGAATACTAATAAAATTAAAAAAAAATTATTGTTCAACGTGAAGTTAATTAGTTTTCTTAGTAACAAACATGATGTTTAGGCGAAAATCGAGAAGTAGGAGTTTCTGCGACCAGATAATTGTCCACTTACTTTTTATTTGGTTAATTCCAAATCGAATTTTTCGAATAGATTTAATTGGAATAATGTAAAATAGGCAAAGTTGGCGCGTCTATCGCTTACATTTCGTTCTTTCGCGGAGTTTTTCGTTGATACACACGTACAAATATGTCATAATAGATTCAAACACTTGCCTCGGATAGACTTCCAATCCATATCATAATTGTTCTGCCCAACTATCCTCAACAACAATTATGAGATTAAGTCGGGAATGATTTCTATGCTTAAAAATCTTGGACGTGTAAGGATCTGAGTTCGACCCCGAGGTCATATGAAAGAACAAAGGATAATGCATGGCGGCAAAAAAATATGTATTAATACTATACAATGCTCGAATTTGACTAGGTTGGACAACGTAAGTGAGTTCGTTGACATTGGTGATTTTTATTAATATCTTGAATTCTTCTAAGATTATTCGCAAAATTAATTTAAGAGTAATTAACAAACGCATTGGATGAGATATGATATACTTGTAAAAAAAGGATTATATGATATCTATAAGGATTCTAATTGATACCCCATAGCTGGATCCTAAGGTTATATTATTATTATTTTTTTATTTTATTATTATATTATTATTCATCATTATTATTTTATATTATTATTATTATTATTATTAAAATTTTAAATTATTTCTTAATTTTTGTATTGTAAACTCTGCAGAATGGTGGTTAGAATAAGTAATTAAATTTAATATCTAGGAGGGCTGTCTGTCGGTTGTTCGCCCTCTAACATCTATGACGTGCCGCCGTGGCAAGCGGCGGCCGGCCGGCTCTCCTTTTCCTCCTTCCATCGGCTAATGGACAGGGACCAGATTTACACCTCAAGCTTTGATGTTCCCTTAGCTAGCTTTGACACGATCCCTAGCTATAGCTAGCTGCTAAGCTCTTCCCGATCGCAGATACAATAAAATACATCCAAAAATAACGCGTTGCTCAAGAAGGATGGAGCCGTAAAGCCAACTGGGAACTTTACCCATGACTGGGAAATCTTTGGCTACAAGGATAGAGATAGCATGATATCTGTAATGCGCCTGTTGCTTAGCAATATGATTCCCTCGACTTGCCATATGTCAATATGTATAGATTTTTACAACGGTAGCAAAGCAACCAAAATCTCGATTTAAATTTTAAAATCTTATGAAATTACGATTTCATTTACTTATTTCGATCTTGATTTCACTACAAAATTATAAACCTCAAAATCATACACTATTCACGATTTAAATCCTTAAAATCTTACGATTTACAATTCAAATCTTTGGGTTAATTTTAGTTATCTTCCAGGGAATTCGCAAATGATGCCTCTTTTCCTTCTCCTCCACCAACATCATCTAGTTCTCTCAGAGTAACCAACATCGGTCATCATCAATTCACATCAACATATTCATTATCCATTCACCGCTTCCCAACCTTAACCTTGATAAATTGGAACATTAACCTTGAGAAATTATAATTGTAAGTGTTATGTTTTTTTTTTTGTTATTCATGATTTTTCTTATTAATATTATTCCGACATTGTTTTATATAGACATTAAAATCCTATAATTTTACGATTCAATTTTACGATTATGATTTTACACCCATGTTTTATTTTACGTAAAATCTCAATTTGACAGCTACAAACGGTAGAACTCACAACCATTTGAATTATGGGACTAACAGGTCATTGACATATAAGGGAAGGATACAATGTTCATATATAGACATCTTAGTAATTTGTGCAAGTTACTATAAGATCAATACGGTGTTATAACATGGTACATTGAGCTTTTTGACCAAGATATCTCATACTCGAATCTCAGCGACATCTAATACTAACATTTGATATAAGCCCGAGATATGGTGGATTATGAAAGTTAAACCCATAAATTGAACTTCATTTTAGAAAGGGCATGTAAGAGAATGATATAAAATCATACATGAACCTCTATTAACAAACATGAGTTTTTTTTTTAAAGACGAAAGATTTTATTCAAACTCACAATAAAAGCTTTACAAGAGATGATTCATTAGAAATGCCAAACACGGATCGCAAGACATGATCCACAAAATGGCAGGAGTGAAAAAGTATAAGAAAGAGGTTGGTTTTTTTTTTATTGAATGGAGGCAAACCGCCAACCTTACATACTCCTAATGGCTAGGAGCAGAGACAGGCAACAAACCAGAATGGAACAGGGGATCATAGAAGAAACAGAGAATCCCAATCTAATCATCACTAGTTCGGATCACTTGCCTAGGAAAGCTAACTCCAATTATGTCCTCCTGGCAGATTCTGTTGAGTTCTAATGGGGTCAATTAATTCATACGTATCGAAGGGATAGACGAGACTGTGCTTCGAGAGCCATTCCGT